GGACCACCTGTACGACCGTTCGAATGTTGTAGATTTGCGCACTAAGAACACGTTTTATACGAAAACAGTGTAAGGATTTATACTAACTCAATATATTTATTCATTTATTTGTTAAATGTATTACCCAAAAAAAGAAAAAATAAAAGAAAACGACGAGATAAAATAATCAAAAATTTTTGAAGATGTAGACAAATCACAGCGAGGAGAACTCTGTGGTTTAGACCGAATATCGCGTAACGCCGAATTTGCAACCTTTTAGGGAAAGCTAAAAACATTAAAAATTAAATTCTTAAACTGTCCAAACTCAAAACATTTTCATACTTTTGATTGCAAACAATTAGAGAGCCAATAACAATTGAAATGCTTCACGGTTTGAAAACGAATATTTAACTAGTTATAAGGGTTAAAGTATGTTCATTTTAAAAGAAAATTTGGCATTATTGGCCAAAAAATATCTCTTCACTTAAGCCTACTAAACACGCGGAAACGGACAACTGAATCCGTCAACTAAAAAGGTAAACTAAAATTTGACAATCGGGCTTCTTTCTCCGTGGCAGGGAGTCACACAGTACCAAAGTCTATGTAAAAAGGTCAAAATACGCGTGACCTACTTCTTGAGCCGCCATTTTAAGGTTTTTTGAGTCGCATGTTTTAGTGAACTTTTTGTAGCCCGATTTAACAGATCCGCAATGATTTATTCGAACGTTAGCCAAGAAAAAATGCTCTGTAGTCGTAAGAAAGATGTTTTTTTTTACGAAAAAGGTTTATTGAAAATTATACATTCGCAGCATTTTCATACTCCCAATCTGTTATCTAACGTTTTCCATTCGTAAGTACGGTACATTCCTGAATCGAGCGTAGTCGCGACCCCGTGTGCCAGAGCCGCGCGAGTAGAATTTATAAATTCCACGAATTTTTAGACTGTACGACTGGGTTAACTTTAGTCGGTTCTCAACTTATCTGTGGCTTTCCGTTCGTAGAAATCTGTCAAATACGGTACATAATATTTTTAATTACTACTGAATGAGCTGTTAATATTCGCTAAAACAATTATTTTAAGATATATTAATTAAATACGGCATTTTTAAAATTTCAGAAAAGAATTTACTTACCCTTCATAGTTTTGAATTCCAACTTCTGAATTTCACGGGCAAATCCATGTACTGTTCACGTAATCGAAGGAAAGTAGAAAATCCTTCGGAACGCCAAGTCTCGCGACAGAATATAGACTTTTCCTCCACCGGGATTTGGTTGTTCTAAACCTACACGCTCGTTAGTAAGATTTCCTTTCGAGAAGTGCTTATCGCGATAACAACGAGTATTTTTTAATATATCCGACGCAATATTTTCCGTAACGATTTCTCAGCCACGTAGCGGGAATACTTCGCAATCAATTATCGATGATAAAGTATGGCTTTAAAGCTAAAATATCGACAAAAAATTCCAAGAGCACCGTACAGTACGAGGAATACGCTATCCCAGTGTTTTTCAACCTGTGGGTCGCGACCCCCAAAGGGGTCGCAAAGCCTTACACAGGGGGTCGCGGGTAAAAAAAAGACAAGTGTTTGTAGGTTCTACACTACAATAAAAAAAACTATAATTTCATTGAGAAGGCTATGCCTGTTTATTTTAAAGTACAATTGGTTTTTCGATCGATATTAAGGTCTCAACAGAAAGAAAATTAAATACGTAGTTTTTACCATCACTGACATAGTTTTAATATGGCCCTGGGGTCGCCAGAATTTTTCTAACTTTTAAAGGGGTCGCGTATTCAAGAAGGTTGAAAAACACTGCGCTATCCAAACGTCGCGACACTAGCGGCATCTCGTGGTAAAAACCAGAACTACGGCTACGGAATCGTTCTGTAATTAGACGCCAGTCTAGAACGCGGTCGGTTAACCGATGTGACGGTTGATCGGGGATCGGATTATCGATGCTCTACTGTACTGTATTCTGCTGTTTCATTCAGCATACCAACCACATAGAACGTGTAAAGTGCTGTAGCAACGTTATATCACATTTCCGGCTATAGGTTCCTTAGGCCTATATCAAAATATCCTTATATCAAACGTTCAAAATTTCATCCTCTACAATCTCCCAAAATTTTTAAAATATCATTCTGATACACACTGTATGTATTACAACAGAATATGTAAGTGGAAATGCAGATTAGTTAATAATTTAATATATATTTTCACCTAAACATAATTCATAGTTTTTAATGCATAATTGTTAAAACATTTTAAATAATAAGTTATTCTGTTTACAAAATCCGTAATCCATTGGTTTGCTTTTCAAATTAAATCCTGTGGAAACTTAAATATAGACAGTGGATATCACTTCACTTTATATTTTCCTACGCAACCAGGTACACAACACAAACAAAACTAGCTTACTATGAAAACATTACAGTACAAATATAACATTACTTTTTCCTGACACATATTGGTAAACAATTTCCACGATGAAATGTATGGAAATTCTTATTTAAAACATATATAACTATTATATTCAAAGGAATTTAAAATACTTACGTTATTATTGATAGGTAAATGATTTATACAAGAATTCTATACTTTTAATTTGAAAAATGGTCATACAAATTTGATTAAACATATTTACAGATATATCTATTACGGAACTGGATACATGAAATTTCTGTAAATTTGAAAAGTGTTGTTTCTTCTCGGAGATTTTCAACTGGCATTCAAAAGCACAAAATGTCTATTGACAGAAAGACCTGTCAATCCTAAGTAAAGCATTAAAAAATTTTTTTTTGATGAGAGTACTGTAATCTATGGAGAATATTCTTTATTCAAAATTATTCAATAACTTTTACATTTAAACTTTATAATTTGTTAAGCAAGATTTGTGAAATTTCTCTTTCAGAGGTGTACAAAACTTAATTAATTTTATAATAATATAATAAATATAATATAAATACAACTTTTAACAAAGATGGAACTTTGCTTTAGTCTTTCTTTCCGTTGTTAAAATTCAATTTTTATTTTTTAAAATGTATTATTGTGATTGTGGCTTTAGGACACCAGATGACGCTTTTATCATACTTTACATTTTTTACTACGTAGGCAGTAGCCTAAAAGGAAATGTCGTCTCCGTGAATGTTTTGATTTTATGACCTGCGGATGGTGTAAAACAACTGAAGCAAAGTTTCATCTTTGTTAAAAGTTGTATTTATATTATATTATTATTAAATTACCGTTGGCCATGTTAAAATTCAATTTTTATTTTTTAGTTAATTTTATTGTTTCATCTAACTATATTAAATGCACATGACAAATTCAAAGAATATTCTGATTTATCTCAATTAGAAATTTCATCCCTTGAACTTTTTATGAATATATTTGTAACAAAGTATAAATTTTCTGTTATTCATTATCTGTGCACATTATAATTTAAAATATTTAAATTTAAAACATTAATCACACTATTAAAATTATCTATTGTGTATGATTGGTTCAGAGGTACAGTACATAAAGATCAAGTATGAAGTTAAAATTCGTTCAAAAAAATAAATAATCTTAGTAATTTATTAAGTAAAAGTAAACCATTTTAAAATTATTCCTATAAATTTAACCCCTTTCGCAACGTTAGCAGATTTAATAATGTCTTTATTTTTCTCGATTGTCCATATCGTCGTTTCTGGGAATACGGTAAACAACAGTTAAAATCTCGAACACGCGTGCCACCTTCGTATTTCTCAACAATTTCTTTCATCAGTTCCATTGTAATTCTAGTCATTTTTTTAGTTTTGTGTCGCTTTTCATTTGCCTTTTTGCGATTCGTGATTAATAAAAATAATAAAAGTTTACTTACGAATTAAAATCAAAAGAAATTTAACCAAGTTATAAACCGTTGCACCGCGAACGTCTAGTCTGGTCTAGTACACCGATAGTGCTACTTGTTCATTGATGGCGCGTATAATTGAATTATGTCGTATACCGAGCAAAATTTGTTTCGTCCAAACAATACGTATTCCGAATTGGACGTATTCTAAAGCAGACGTATACCGAGGTACTACTGTAATTGCATTTGTTTTAGCACCTATTTAATCAATTTCAATCACGACAGCAAATTATATGAATGATTTTTTTTAAACTATTTTATGAAAACGTTACATAAAATTGGGGTTGCGTAATCATTTAAATTTATTATTATATTTTTGACTGGAAATTATTGGATTCATTCAATTTTACTTTAATTAATGTCGTATAAAACTGTCTGCTCTTACAAGTTTGCTTAATATTTTACCGACGATGGTAATTTGTCGATGCATTTAAACTACCAATTCGAAAGACTTTACTCAAATTACGCGAGATACGCTTAACTCTCGGTATTCGCTAGGGTTAGGTTTTTTAAAATCTCGTGAAAACCAAATAATGATGCCTACGGAGAAAATTGAATTTGGTTTTGCGGAACATTTCGAAGATAAACGTTGATTGTGAAATAAAATATTGCAAATTTTCTAATATAAAACGTTTAAATTATTTTTAAGAAGCGATGAATAATTTTATTAAATAATACAAAAAAAAATTCAAGTAAGAGATCGAAAATTCAGCGGGAAAATCTCGAGATTAAAAGAATTTAAGAAGGAAAGTCTACCTATTCTGTAGAATAACTTTTATAATATACTGTATAATTTTAAATATTTTGATAAAAATAATGAACAATAATCATCATATAAAGCTATAATATAAACATTGAACATTAGACAAAAGACAAATTTGACGTTCGACAGACGAACGGCAGCAAATTTTGTTCGTAATAAATTAATTCTGACTGTGATGTATTTCACCACAATCAGAATTATGCTTGTCCAGCTTCTTGACGTCGCGAAGTAGCGACATCTAGTGGTAAAAAACAGAACTACGGCTGCGAAATCGTTCTGTAATTAGACGCCAGCACAGAGTAAAGAAATATATATATATCCAGAGTGGTAGCTGGCGCTAGTGTCGTGAAACTGCCTTGAAACAGGAAGTATCGCCATATTCAGGGCAGAAGCGAAAGTTTTCTACTTTCGAATAATTGTGTAAATTCCATACGTATAATTTAGATTCTACGATAAAATGGTTAATAGCTGTTGTGCGATTAATTGTACTAAACGCAATACTAGAGAATATGGTCTTACTTTTCACCGGTAAGTGAATACGTAATGTATATATTTCTAATTACAGTACTATACGTGTATGGGTTAATGTCACCTATGATGACTAAAATGGCGGCGCTTCGGTTAGGTTTGTTTCGGTTCGGTTAGATTAACTATATTTTTAGTAGACGTTTTTTTTTTTTTTTACTTTGTTCAAGCACTACCGTAGAGACGTTAAACACTCGGCGGTTTCCCTCTGGGAGGTCCGTCGGGAGCACGAGCAGTAGGTAACATTAACCCGCCTATACATACCGTGTTCTGAGATTTTCTCTTGCATTATTTTGAATTATGATTTGTAGATTTCCTTCTGAGCCGACATTGAAAAGAAAATGGATTCTTGCCACAAAAAGACCGAAATGGAAACCAACCATGTGGTCCGTTCTTTGTTCGGCTCATTTTAGCAGTGATTCTTATTATTTATCATCAACTACACATAAGATTCTAAAAAAGGATGCGGTTTCCTCAATATTTGAATTTCCTGATCATCTGAGAAAGGTAACGTTTCTGTATAAATATTGACTTATATTAAAGCATTAACTATAATGTTACAAAGTAAAAGACCGATTATAAACGATATGTCTTTGTCTATTGGACGTTAGAAAAATGAAAGCAGACGGGTCTTCATAAGAGGTTGGCTTAATGACAGTGAACAAAATACTTCTAACATAGTTATTGGAACATCAAGTCCGCTCTCTTCAAACACTGCCATCGATGCTACAAATCCAGGTTAGTCTAGTAGCCAGTCTAAGTAACTTCTGTTCTCTAAACTAATTATTTATTTATCATACTCTTTTTTTATTAAAGTGTTAGTGGACCACACTTACGCTATAACTGAATCTCCAAGAAAAATAAAAAACCAATTGCTTCAACAAGTGGAATGAAATATAGCACTTCGGAGAAAATTAAAAACATTACAACAATACAAAAGACGAAAAAACAGTAAAATAGAAACCCTGAAGGAAGCCATACAAGGTGTATTGTTGCAAGCAATTTTTATTTTTAATTACTTTTTTACTGACTAAAACTTTCTGTTTTTGTTTTGTTGTAGAATTAAAGAAAAACAATTACATCGCCGAAGCAGGACTGGGGTTGCTGCAGGAATGTTCAGATGGCACTTATGGCACTCCATTTCAATTAATGCAGGCTGTCCAATATCGGCTTAAAAAACATTCGGTAGGAGCATATCCAGCAGCCTTGTTTAGTCCTGCAAATATTGCATTAAGGCCATTAGTGCAATTAAAAGATAATGGCGCTTGAATACATGCTAACAGTGATGTTATTGATGTTTGTAAACAAACAGAAAAGAAGATTCGTTATTTAATGCTAAGTAATGAAAACTGGAAACTCCAAAAAAATGTTTTGGCAAGTATTGTTCAATCAGTGACTATGCACTATACCAATGTAAATACAGTAGAGCGTCGATTTTCCGAAAGTCAATCATCCGAAACGTCAATCATCCGAAAGAATTCCAGTTGGAAAATTTAAATTTTCTCCAATGCTGTGGCACTTCAATCTTTGGCTATGTCTTGGATTACTCAAATATTTTACGTTTTCGATATTAAATTAACATCTGAAGTATAATTTTTTATTGTTTTTATATTTTTCAATATATTTATTTTGTTTGTACAAAATAAAAAAATAATTTTTAACGATACNATTGAATAATGTCGTATACCGAGCAAAATTTGTTTCGTCCAAACAATACGTATTCCGAATTGGACGTATTCTAAAGCAGACGTATACCGAGGTACTACTGTAATTGCATTTGTTTTAGCACCTATTTAATCAATTTCAATCACGACAGCAAATTATATGAATGATTTTTTTTAAACTATTTTATGAAAACGTTACATAAAATTGGGGTTGCGTAATCATTTAAATTTATTATTATATTTTTGACTGGAAATTATTGGATTCATTCAATTTTACTTTAATTAATGTCGTATAAAACTGTCTGCTCTTACAAGTTTGCTTAATATTTTACCGACGATGGTAATTTGTCGATGCATTTAAACTACCAATTCGAAAGACTTTACTCAAATTACGCGAGATACGCTTAACTCTCGGTATTCGCTAGGGTTAGGTTTTTTAAAATCTCGTGAAAACCAAATAATGATGCCTACGGAGAAAATTGAATTTGGTTTTGCGGAACATTTCGAAGATAAACGTTGATTGTGAAATAAAATATTGCAAATTTTCTAATATAAAACGTTTAAATTATTTTTAAGAAGCGATGAATAATTTTATTAAATAATACAAAAAAAAATTCAAGTAAGAGATCGAAAATTCAGCGGGAAAATCTCGAGATTAAAAGAATTTAAGAAGGAAAGTCTACCTATTCTGTAGAATAACTTTTATAATATACTGTATAATTTTAAATATTTTGATAAAAATAATGAACAATAATCATCATATAAAGCTATAATATAAACATTGAACATTAGACAAAAGACAAATTTGACGTTCGACAGACGAACGGCAGCAAATTTTGTTCGTAATAAATTAATTCTGACTGTGATGTATTTCACCACAATCAGAATTATGCTTGTCCAGCTTCTTGACGTCGCGAAGTAGCGACATCTAGTGGTAAAAAACAGAACTACGGCTGCGAAATCGTTCTGTAATTAGACGCCAGCACAGAGTAAAGAAATATATATATATCCAGAGTGGTAGCTGGCGCTAGTGTCGTGAAACTGCCTTGAAACAGGAAGTATCGCCATATTCAGGGCAGAAGCGAAAGTTTTCTACTTTCGAATAATTGTGTAAATTCCATACGTATAATTTAGATTCTACGATAAAATGGTTAATAGCTGTTGTGCGATTAATTGTACTAAACGCAATACTAGAGAATATGGTCTTACTTTTCACCGGTAAGTGAATACGTAATGTATATATTTCTAATTACAGTACTATACGTGTATGGGTTAATATTATTTTTGTTAAATTTTGCGTGTTTTAGCTGGCAACACTGTCTCGACCATGACAAGGAGGCTACTATTTAAACGAGGCTTAATTTTCTAATTTTAAACGATACAATAGCGACGATTATTATTTTAAAAAAAATTTTGTTAGGCTTAACATCGATGAAAATTTAACGCGAATTAGGTTAATAGCGATATACTAATTACATGGGATATAATAATATACTATGCTAATAACGTATTTTTTCATACTTTTCAGTTATCCGTTTTTTTTTTCAGTTATCCGACTAACACCAGTCCCCAACTGAGTCGGATAATCGATGCTCTACTGTATTTTTGACAAGTTTTATTGACAAAATAGTAGAGTACAATCAAACTGTACATCGAATCAGTAGCTGCACTACTTTAGAGTAAATGTTCAATGTGACGACCCCCAACTTTGACTTACGTTGACTAGCTGTGTGTTTACAGCACAGCGCCAGTGATTGCGAGGAGTGACCTGAAGGACGACAAGCACTAAGTACACAACGTCCTGTACACAGGCTCAGTTAGACCACTGTAATTGTGTGTTTACAGTCTTTCATCTGCAGCAATAACATGACATCAATGGACAGAAGGGTAGCTACCAAAGTGAAGGGCAGTCAAGCACTTCCTACCGCTGTAGACACTTTAGTTCAAATTTCCGGCTATAGGTTTCTTACATTAAAACGTTTAAAGTTTCATCCTTTACAATCCCCCAAATTTTTAAAACGTCATTCTGATACACCCTGTATATAAAAAATTAAATACAAGTTTCTGTAAGGTTAAAAATACTGTATTGTCTTATAAAGAATGTAAAAAAAAAAACTTAATTTGCAATTTACATTTGTTGCTTTTGATTATTTTATTATTATAGTAAATGTACAAAAAAAAGCTTCATTGAAATACAAAATAGATAAAAGTTACTTCTTGATGTTTAAAACTGTCGCAACATTAAAATCTTTGATATCACGTAATTTAGTTTAACTGAAAATTTTCCAATAATTTTAACATTAATGTCAATACACACAAGAGCTCGTGAAATTATAAATAAGTGCCTTTTATCAAGTTTTAGATGAAATGTCTATAACTATAATGTCTGCCAACTCTCACAACACAATAATACAAAGTTTAGGCTAATTGATCAACATTTCCGATTTCAGTAGGTGGACGTCATTCAGCCGACCAATCAGCGCGTTGTGCCATCTGTATATTTAGTCGCAGTTTCTTACCAGTATAGAGACCTCGCACAGTACAGTTGAAACGCGCGCCATCTGTCAGCGATGAATATAAACAAGCTATTACGGTAGGGTAGGACACGTGCCAATAGACGAAAATGGCATCTACCGGGATTGTGTTGTTATATCAATTAAACTTTTTAAGTTTGCCTACGATCTTACGGAGGATAAAGAAACTCAACAACGAACAATTTGGATAGGAAAAATATTCGAAATCGTCGAAAGTTAAGAATATCGAACACTCTGGTACCCGAATTACCATTACGCCATTTTGAATAATTTACGCAGTAAGTACGTCTATTTGACATTATTTCAATCGGATAGTAATATAGCGTTTAAATGAAATATATTAGTATAGAAATAAAGCTTTTTACCCTTGCCCATCGCCATTTTTCGAATGCTCTCGTCCCACGTAATTTTTATGACAACGTTGCTCAACGGTTTTTTTTTGTCTGATTTTTGCCGTTCCGCTTGTCGCCACGGCAAAAGTCGAAAATTTTCAAATTCGTATTCCGTCGGCTTCCACGACAAAAGTGACGTCATTTTGTCGTTCCTTCCCCCAGTGAGCACCAGACTTTAAAAGTTTTTCACTCTGGACCAGCGACGTCCGATTTAAACCTTCCCGAAGGCCAATATAGAGTAAAGGAAACATCAGAAGTCCACGGGATTTTCAAACGTAAAAACATTACGTTCTGAAATTTAATATTAATTAAAATAACATTAAACGTTCAAATTTTTATTCATAATTTGCAGAAAGAAATTTAATTACTTATTCCAGAAATATCTTTTTTTGTCTGTAGTGCTGGTCAAACTCTTTATCAACGATATGGAAACTACTTTAGTTTCATTTCCGACGTAGCAATTCTGACAATATAGGAAAACGGAGTCTGTTGATCTGTTTTTATCCTTTGCTTTTATAAACTTTGTGGCAGGAAATGATGCGTAGCAAAGGTTTCTATTATGAAATATTGAGCACAGGGTTTTAGATCCCATTTTTTGGGAAGCGAATAACGTTGCTTTGGAAATAATTTCCACAAATCAAACATCGCTGTCAATCGAAAAAATACTCCGCAATAAATTGAAGACAGAGTTAAACGTGGTAAATTGTTTTTGAACTGAAGAACGAAATACAGTTGAAAAAATACTTATTAAGCATTTACCTCAAATAAGTCATCTTACCGCATCATTAAGCAGATTCCTACGGGCAGAATCGATTTTCTCTAAAATTGCCAGGACGCTTTATGAGTGACAGACCAGCATCACCTCTAATCAAACAGGTTATTTGTAAAGATAACACGATCCGATACCGATAATTTTCGACGCAACGAGACCCGATCTGATACTCGCTTCCATCCATACTCTACAGCTATTTTAATAAATAAAGACCCGAAGGCTAATCAGTTTAAGCATGAACCATTTCTTCCTTTAACGATTTAAATCGAAACATGAAGACAAACGTTTAAGAATCCATCTACTGGTGCCTTTCAGAATCGGGTCTTACCGATTGTAATTGTCTAGTTTGCTTAGGTTCAAGTCTGGCCTTGTTTCTATGGGAACATTCAAACACATCGCTAATAAACTTATAACAATACCAGAAAAATCGCCAATTTGAAAAAAAAAATTATTACCAAATTGCCAATTGGCTTAAAACGTTGTCAAATCTCTAAACCTGTTCTCGGGTCACCCGTCCATCGCCACGCGACGCCGCCTACCAAGATCTCGCTTTTAAAAGAAACAACAATCGTATCTCGCGTGATCTTTTGTAGCGAATTACGTGCACAAAGAGCGCTAAATGAGTTATTATTACAGCGTGATAAGTCAGTGGCCGAATGTCTGCCAAGGCAAAACGATGTAAAGGATGCGTATCGAAAGAAAAGATTAGAATATCATTTTTTTAAAACGAATTGATTTCGACATATCAGAAATATTACGATAGGCCTGTACAGTGCCGTCACGAAGGCAACTGCTTACGGCACTGTAACTAACGGTGTAGAAAAATAATGTCCAGAGGAAAGGAAGTCATAAATTGGGGTATGAAAAAGATTAGTGTTTTATTTTTATTGTCATATTTTAGAATTGACCGCTAAGAAGACCGACTCTATAGCGGTTTTGGTTAAAGTTAAAAACTAACCGACAATTTTTATCATATCTCCTTTTTTGTATTTTTTCCTTAAAAAAAGATGGACCAAAAGTAAATTTTGGCGCAGGATACACTGAAAGGTAGTTTCAGCCTCACGCCGATACATCGGTATCGGTTACGTATCTACTTCTTTTAATCACACTAGCCAAGCGGCATTTAGATTTATGGATTTTGTTTGCACAAAAATCTTGCTAAACTATACAATATATTGTGGACTCATTAATTTTGTTCGGTTTCAAAAATCCGGCGAAAAGAATGTTAGACTCATCCGTAGTCTCATCATTATCGGTACGCAGCAAATTTTAAATCCATCATATTCCTCCATTGCATTTTTAAATTCGGATAATACGTTTCCCTCTTTTTTACTGGTAAGTTGTAAAAAGAAAACTTTTAATACTTCCCTTGAATGGTAAAGTTTCTCGGGATAACTTTAGCCAAAGTGGCTAGCTAGTGTCAACCACGTTAATTTAATAATTAAGAAGTATGAACAATCTTCAATTAAAGATGTCAAGTCGCGAGACAAATGTATTCTATTCTGCAAGTAACAATTTGCTGGAAAGATGAACAAATTGAAATTGTTTTTGGACCTTTCATCACTGAATGCTTCTGCCGTTACAAAACGATTTTAATCTGGCGCCAAGTGGCTGATTAATTAATTAATTAATAACAGAAGTTAAAAATATATATACGCGTTATCTGGTTATTTCCGCGTGAATAATTAGCATATGTGTAAAATAAGATTTAATTTAAAAATCAGTCATTATTTGGGAAATTGTTGAGACTGGAAAGAGACAAAGAATTATGGTGACGGAATCTTTGCAACCCGGTTAATGGTTAATATAAAATTACGTTAATGGTTAATATATAAAAACCGTTTCTGTTTCAATTTGTACGTTTTTGGAATTGAATTGACGCCATGAAGACAATATATCATGAAATTTATTCTCAATTTTTATAATATTTTTTTAATAGCAACTGCAAACTTCCCATTAGGGACCGTCTATAAATTACGTAAGGGCGATTTCGGCCATTCTAGACCCCCTGTGTAAGAAACCATAATATTTTCTTTGATCCACTTTCCCCTTCCATATCTTACGTAATATTTCGGCATGATTTTATACAAAGATTTTAACCAAGATTTTAACCAAAAAATAAATATTCTTATGAAACCCTAAAAACCCTTAGGTTCTAAATATAAATTCAGTAGGAAGTAAATTATTTTCTTTTCAAAGCCAGTTAGCCATCAGAATTTCAAAGTGCTACAAAACTGTTTTTACTAATGCTCTCTGATACTAGCGGAGCTCTTTCCTTTGCCACTATGTATTGTAGAAAAGATTCTAAACTACTACACCAGAACTACAAACGTCAAGGCTCAACAACGATCTCTACTTTTATCTACGGCTGTTCGTAAGCTACCACATTGCAATTACCCTACTATCTCCGATCATCATCCTGTAAACAATGTTATTTGGTCTCATCCGCATCCTCCATGGATAATCATGCAAACATTAATATCTACACAAATGGGTCCAAAAGCTCCCTTCTTGTCGGCTCAAGTATCTGTATTTTCCTGCAAACTGACATATTTTGCCAAAAATATGTTAGAAGGTACAGATACCTCCCACATACCTCCATCTATCGAGCTGAAGAAGATGCCGACTACCAAGCTGTTTAGTGGGCCACTTCACTACCAAACAAAACTATCAACATTTACAGTGATTCTCAGTTCGTCCTAAAAGCTCTATTAAATCCCAATTGCAATAGCAATAAAATCGCATATATCCAGCACCATATTTAAAATCTTGTAAATAAGATAACTTTTATATTTGTTCCTGGCTATACTGGCATATTGGGAAATGAAAAAAGCCGACTTTGAGGCTAAGTCGGCTGCAAAGGTCACTGATTTGGACTACACTCACATCCCTCTCTCGCGTAGCAGCCTTAAAAATTATATTCGTGACAACGCTACGCAAAAGTGGAATCAGTAAAAGTAGTTAAGCAGTAAAACCGGTAGAATAACAAGACTTTATTTTCTTGGTGTTCAATGAACGTTTGCTACTGCTCAACTGCTTACTGAGCATGGTAATTTTACAAGCTACCCGGCGATGTATAACCGGGCAGAAGCTACTTCTTGTTTTTTCTGTACAGAGAACCAAGACACCGTCGACCATACGATGTATCATTGCCCAATTTACGATCAAGATAGACTTATTCTGAAATTTAAAATATTTACGCTTGGTTTCGGGTGGCCGTGTTCACTCGATAAGCTTGTTCAGAAACCACTGTTTGATACTTTTTACAATTATGTTTAAAAAATATAAAAGAAAATGCTATTTATAATTTATAATTTCTAGTTTTACATTTTAGTTATCACTAAAAGCCGAATACTAATTTTGTGTGTACTTTATATCGCGTATTTTGGTTTACGTATTCTTAGTGTTATACACACATAGAAGTGGTGCACTTATTGTAATAAAAAACACGAAAGATAAACCATCGCACGGCCTTTCTTCCATGACAAAAAATGTGTAAAGCGTGAATCTGCTAGCGTTATTACTCTATCTCGTCACACGAGACAATGAGCATTCTTAATAGAAACCACCAAATTAAAGCCAAATTCAAAACGCCACTACTCAACGAAATGAAAACAAAGAAAAAAGTAAGAATATTACTTAAGACGAGATCTATTACTCCCCTACCCCTGAGTAAGAAATCGTAAGAAATTCTTGACCCCTACCCACCCGAAAATACCTTACATAATTTATGGATGGCCCCTTATGTCAGTTGTTATATTAAATTAAAAATCTTTGTCTTAATCTTACTGCATATCTTTCATTCCTGGCTGAAGTCTTATAGTTTACAACTCTCATTTTTAGAAAAAGGTCGGAGAACTCGATGCCGTAATATTGAACGAGTAGACTATTATTGTTATCGTGATAATTTTCCATTCCGTTCTGTAATGCTGCAATAGGAAACTCTTCCATTTTCAAATGTAAAATCGCGTTAGTTTGAGAACCTATCCTAATTTTGTAGCAAATTTTACTCTCTTCAAAATCAAAATCATTGTCCTAAGAGACTCAATACTCACGGACTTCATAAAGCCATTAAGCGTAGAAATTCCTTAACAGTTGGCTTAAATTAAAAAGATTACGCAGTTTTCTTGAAATAAGACGTTAACAAGTAACACACGATCACACAAACTGAGCACCACGACGGCTCACCTGCAGAACTTTTTCAATCTATTTTGTTAATTAGTAAAGGTACGGTAAAACCGGGCTACTTTGCACCGGCACGTGCCCTTATAGTTTTGTTTTTTCATTGTCGATTAATTCTGCTAAATTTTCATCTATTTTCACAAGCTTCATTCGTTTTTCCGGAAGACGTTTTTCCATATCAAATAATTTTATTTTTCAGTAATGTATGCCGTCATTATACACAGTAAAGAATTTTAAAAAATGCTTTAAAAAGGTAACATTCAAATTCGACAATAAACTGGAAACATTCCAATTTTAAGTCTTCTACAAAAAATCTGTTTTCCATACTGAAGTGACTTGTAATGTACTTTCTGTACTTCGACAGACAAAACATAAACGATTATCAAAAATTATTATAACGTCACAACTCCATTTTATACGAAAGAATCGTTTAATATGGAAACGGATACGTTGTGTATCAAAATCAGAGTATCATAGAAGTACTTGATAAGTATAAGAATTATTCATTTATTTAAAGCTTTAAAAATAAACATTTACTCTCTTCTGGTTCTTCTTGAACTTACAAAAATATACGTATGAGCAGTTATAGATTTATTCCATTAAAAATAATACAGTATATTTATATGGGTTCGTATTCTTGATTATTGACTTAGTGTAATCTGTCAAGTATAATTATTATCTATCTCGTTCATTGCCATGTTCACAACCCCGCGCGACGAAATTTCTCCTTTTGCGAAATTATTTACTTTATTATTCGTATTGTGTTTTTCTCTTTGGAGTCTTTTAATCCAAAACCGGTTTAAAGTCGACATGATGACGGGAACAAATAATATTCCATGTAAGATTGATATTATACAAGCGATAATTATAATTATTGCAGAATTTTTTATGTCGACCGAAGGAGAAAGTAAATTGAAAATCAATGCTAAAAGAGTTGTTATACAACCTTGCAGAGTTGGAATTCCTGTCATAGATACAGCCCACATTAAACGACAATTCGGATCCGCATCCCTGCACGACACGTAAGCACACGCAACGTGTGCGGCGTAATCTACAGAAAATCCAATAATAACAATTAACGTTGTAGTAGTGCTCACCGATACACTAATGTCATAGAAGGACATGTAACCTAATACACCCATTCCCACAGAAACGATGTCAAATAACACACATACGATAGAAATGACATTTGGCAACAACACCAGGCATACCAGAAATACCGTCACCAACACAATGGATAAGGTTTGACTACAAGTAACAGGAATGGCATCGACGAGGTCGAAAATGTAGAATAACGGATTATAGATGATTGCGCGAAACGGCATTTCCTCTACTTTCAGCCTTAACTTCACCAATTGACGGTAGAAATGGTTCCCATCCCGCGTGATGTTTGTTTGAATAAAGAAGCGACTGGCGATAATATTTGTTGCGTTTTCATTGAAAGAAATGTCGTTTTTAAATCTTTTCGCCTCGGGAACACGTAGAAAAAAATTCCTAAGAACAAATATAAAATCCTCGGTGTCTGTCAAATTATACGAAGAAAGCAATAAAGATATTCTCTTATCCGAAACAAACCGAAGATAACTCCTCAACCAGGATTCCGTCATTAGCGATCCAGCAATCAGAGGATCGGATTCCAACGTTTGCATCGTTTCTTCGACTTTCTGTTGGACGAGAGGATCGGCGTAATCCAGCTTTTCTAGAATGATAAACTGTAACCTGTGTTGATATTGATAATAATATTGTTTCTGTAACTCGTAATAATAATGTCGGTATGAACCTCCAATGACATTTATATTTAGATTAGCTTCAAAAGACAGTTTGGTAATGCCCCAAATTGCGAATCCTAAATACAAGAGATACAATATTATTACAAAAAGTTTTGCAACATTCGTTGTTAGAGATTGGATGAAATTTTCCCACGTGTTACTAACAAGCCAACAACGACTGTTTTTATCGGTCGATTCGGGTTGAACGTAGCAAAACATATTGTTCAGAAAACTCTTTGTATCTGCAAGTAAAATAGTATCGTTATTTAATTGAATTAGAAAACATAAATTAATGCATATACTCTATTTTAAATTTAAAATAGATACAATATTAATGGGCTTCGGTAGAAAAATAAATAGAAAATTCTAAGTGTAATTTTAAAAGGAGATATATTTGTATTTTACCTGTAGACGAGAAGTTGTGCAGAGGAACAAACACTAAAGAGTGTAAATTTCTTTCTTCTGCCTTTCCGCAATACACGAAAAGAGCTGCGATGAACGTGATTTGGTATACGTAGTCGAAGGCGAGACACGTTGCCATGAAGACACAAAATATTCTGATCATCGGTGTAGATGAAAATATAATTCCTACCGCGAAAGAAGCGATGTTAGTCAGGGATGTGAGTGTGATAGAAACACCCGTTTCGGCTAATGTTTCCGCCAGTTTTTCTCGTAGACACTTTGTCTTTTCTATTTTCTTCCATGCAGATAACATGATAAATGTGTCGTCCATTCCGATTCCTAAGAATAAAAAAAAAGAAAACGTTTTTCGTTAGCTTTTTCTCAAAGTTTTATTTATATTTAATTGTTTAATTCGAAAGTAACATTAATTACGTAATATAGATTACAATTGTTATAAAAGTTTTAAAAATTTGGATTTTAAATTATATTTTACATTGGATCTTGTACTTGATTCTTCTGAATAATTTAAACAGCTTGCTGTATTCTTCTACTTCTCAGGCATCTAAAGCTGTCAACATTCCCTAATACCTGTAATTCTCCATTCGTTTACATTTTCCTTCACCCCCTCCCGAGTTATCCTTATTATCACTACTGTTTTGCTTCTCTCTTGGCTTATCTTTATTTTCTATCCTGAAGCGCTCAGTTCTACATATTCATTTGATGTATGTTAAGTTGATGTATGTGAGCCTGGCCGAACCCCCTAATGGGCCTGCTATAAGAGGCCCTCTTAGTGCCCACAGGGTGGAGAGAGTAAAAAAACCGTTGGAACAGAAAGAAACAAGTCTGAGTTGTGAAAGGGAAGGCTGAACTCGATGGTATAGCCCTAAAGGAGAGAGAGATAAAGAGTAATGGGATGATAGAGGATGAGATAAGGGAGGGAAGGAGATAGAGGTTGGGATTCGTGAGCCCTTTCCCGGATTCGTTTGCTAAAAAAATAAAGGTGAGATAACAACTACTTGCCCATGCAGAGTAATATTTATTTACAAGTAAGATAGTGGCTCATCTGGTACATTGAAATTTTGCTCCGTTGTAACCACCCTGACGGAAGTAAACAGATAAGGGATCGCACTATTATGACGAGAAAGGGACTCCCCTATTCGAGTAATCCCTGCTGACACTGGAGACGAACAGTACGTTACATACCACTTGGGCAGTAGTGGTATGTAACGTACTGTTACATACCACTACTGTAGTGGTGCATTCAGATAATTTGAGGTTGCTGACAAAGTTCTAGAATTTTTAGAAGATGATTTGGTCCTTGATGAAGGTATTTAATTCGCAGGGCTATGGGTGCTCGTGGTTCACAACAGCCTTATGAAGTTTTGCATGGTGGCGTGCGTGAACTAGAAAGGTGATATTAACATGTAAAGGGTCTTCATCTTCCATGGTGTCAGTTGCGCAAGCCATTCTTCAAAAACTTGTACAGGTAGGACCTGAAGTTGCCTTGTGTTGTAAAGATTTGGGTCATTCCATGGTTGGTTACTAAGCCTGTGAGAAACGTATGGCATAAATGAGATGCATAAATTTGTGAGTGAGACTCCCCATGAGGCTCCTGTCTCACTCTTTCTGACAACAGGACATTACAATGAGACCAGTTTGCCTTCAACCCAAGACAAAGAGATTGAGCTGTATCTCCTGTGGTCAAAGAGGGAGCCTTTTTGGCCAGATAGTCTGCTTTGTCGTTGCTGCTGCTTCGTGAGTTGCCCTTGGTCTAGTTAAAATTTATGGTGACAGTGTTTTGGATGGAGTATAGGAACTTTAAGCTTCCTTTGATAATGGAGAGGCGGAAGTTCCGTTTATGGAGCTGGTAGAGGGCGATGCGGCTGTCGCTAATAATATTTATGTTCTTGCCGTAGAATCTTGTGATATTATCCTGGATACGTCTAAGGATATTAAGAATGGCTAAGGATTCGGCGTGGTTGATCGAGCAGGCCGAGTCAAGCCTACAAGCATCTTGCAAGAAGGTTCTCTTCGTGTAGTTGAGGATAGCCGCTGCAAAGAGAATGTGAGTTTAAACTTTGTGGAGAAAAGAAGTGCTTTTTTGTGCTTCTCAGCTATTTTTTAGTTTTTCGTTGCTAAGCCTAGATCTAGGCTTAGCTAGGTTTCTACAATACTAAGGGATAAGAAGTTAGAGTTAGTTTAGCCCTAGCAAGGCGGTTAGGCCAGATTCGATAGATATACTGGTCCTTGGCGTCGATAGCTATCCTGGCGCTACCAATAGCTGTAATGCTATTACAGTCGACCCCCCTATAATTACGGTCCCTATAATTACGATTCCTATAAAACTACGAAGAAATTGTGACCGGTATCCGTAAAAAACAGTAAAATCCCCCTATAATTACCTCAAACATCATCGGGCAGCCGAATTACTTTCCCGCCATCCGTAGCGCCACGCTACGGAGAGATTTCTATCCTCTGGACAGTATTATATAAATTATATATAAATTAGGTACTGTACATATAATTATATATTAATTATATATAAATTAGGTACTGTATATATAATTATATATTAACTTAATTTATTGTAACTTTATTATAATTATGTATATATGCTCTCCGCCGTCTAGCGCTACGCTACGGAGAGTTTAGGCGAACTATCGTCTGTACAGTATGTAAATTAGCTACCGTAAGTCTAATACAGTACTGTAATTTTATACATTTCGTGTGAAAGAAACATTCCTTATTCAACGGCGATTAAAATCTATATATATAAAAATGAATGTATGGTTGTCTGTCTGTGTGTGTGTGTGTCATTCATGCATTACCACACCGTTTATCCGGTTGGCGTGAAACTTTGGGAAGTTGTTTAATATACTCCAGCGAAGGTTTGTGGCATAGTACGATTGCCATGAAGCTTTGAAAAGTTTTTTAATTTTTGAATACACTCCCGCGAAGTACATTTATCCTACGATAGATGGCGCGCGTTTACACGAGCATTCGCGCACAGTGTGTTCGATCGATTTCAAATTGTAAAGACCATTGTCCCCCTTCAAAAAATATCTGTATATATGCATTTTTAAACTGTTATTTACGATATTTATAATAATTTTTTTTAATCACTTTGATTGTTGCTGCTTCCCTCGTGTTACATAATTTTTTTTTAACCGAAAGCAGCACAACATACTGTCCAACAGGTTTTGTCGACACAGAAGATTCGGATCATTCAGTCAATCTGGGACAATGGCGTGATGAGCAAAAACACTTACATAAATGTGGTTGGCAAAAATCTAACACATATAGTTGTGACGCAAAAGTGTTACGTGACAAACTTGCACAATATTTATGTACTGAAGGTGCCGTAGAATGGCAAGATAGCTGTGTTTATCGAGGCCTTGGTTAAATTTGTATAATGTAAAAATATTTGTAAAAAATTTTGTTTTGTATATATGAAAGTAATGGTTTATAAACATGATTTATTTTAAAAGTATATGCTAAATGATTTACTTATTGTGTTGTTTATGTATTTCTTTTTTCAAACATAAAAATTCAGTGTTTTTAGTACCTCATGTCTATCTTTATTTGACAATTCCCGTAATATTATATGAAGGTTATCACAAAATCTGTTCTTTTTCATGGAACTATTATCAGTTGTTGTGATGTATCTTCAAATTTTTCTGTATAGTTGAAATTAATTAATATGTTCTAACTAAGTATCCAATAATAATAATGAAATCATATCAAATTAAAAGTTTAATAAAGTATATAATTCAGTTATTTTAATTTACTAAATATCAAGCAGACAAAAGAACATATTTATTGTTTGGTTTGGTGTTCCAGCAGGTGGCTACCCAATGATTATTTAAATATAAATAGATAAACATTCTTATAAAATGCACATGATGTGAATCTATTCAGATTTGATACCATCAGATTTGTTTAAAATGTTATATTAAAAAGTGCAAACTAATTCTAGTAAGCATAATTAAGTTAGCAAGTTTCTTATATTTTGGATACGATTTTCTACAGAGCTGTTTGATGAAAATATGAGCTCTCAATTAATCCAGATCTCATGGATGTAATTGAGTAGTTTATGGTAACTTTAGGCATGCTTTCTTTTTAGGGTGGTTATCCTTTGAAGAAAGTGTTTTTCATGATCATTCTGTGATTGTTTTAGTTATGATTATACTTTTGATTATTTATTAATTTGATAATTTGTTTCGAGAATTTTAACTAATACTTTTTTAAATTGTATGAGAGTGAGTCAAAAAGTAAGTTTCATTTTTCTATTCTAAATAGCCTGTTAAGGAAATTTATAGTGTAAAAATAAAAAATAAATGATAACTTTTTGTATATTTAAAATTTTTTACTCTTTCAATAATTTATCTTCTATTTTTAGCATCATAAATTCAATATTTTTTATGACATGATGCCTGTCTTTTTTACTCAAATCCCGAAGTCTGACATGTAGACTTTTACAAAATAAGTCTATTCTGTCTTCTTGTTTGCTTTCAGTTAGGAGTTTGGATGTTGCATTGAAAACTTTCAATGCAACATTCGACATGTTTTCACTTTTTTGTGAAGTTTTCTGTTTTTTTTTACAGGGGCTTTCAGGCATCTCAGATGTCTCATCTCTATAATAATAACAGCAGTTGTTATTATCTATTTCAGTTATTTGTTATAAATTTAAATTTTTTTGTACAATTTCACTTACATTTCACAAAAAGATTCTGTTGTATCAGAAATGTTCATATTTGCACTTTCAATCTGTTGGCTGATTGGTTCATCATTTCCTATAGTGCTGTTAAAATAAATTGCCATCATTATTTCTTGATAAATGATTACTACACTAAAATTTTATTTAATGGTTTTTTAAGTAATGTACTATTTTAATATTCTAAAGCAACACTGATTATTCAATTCTATGTTTGAACTAAGAAATTAAAATATTAACCATTGAAAACTACTACTATCAATTTTATTAATATCTTAAATAAATTATAAATTAATTATAACTTATAATCATCATACCTCTAAGATCTCTAAGATTTTTCCATCTTTTTTCGGCACCATCTCCTAACAACATTCGGTATATTTAATAAAATTAGTAATTACATTAGTAAATTTAAAATATAACAATTATAAAACGTGTTATAGTTTCGTATATATAGTCATAATTATAAATCAGTACTTACCGCTAATTCCGAAGTGCTCTCCAATTGCAGTCCATATTGTTTTTTTTTAATGTCGGATCTTTAAAATCCGAACATTTTTTGTCATACAGACACGGATATTTTCGAACTGTTTCAACAAAATACTCGTTATTAAACATGACACGC